GGTCATGTATGGATGTGAGAGTTGGACTATAAATAAAGCTGAGCACAGAAGAATTGATGTTTTTGAGCTGGGGTGTTGGAGAAGACTCTTGAGAGTCCCTTGGACTGCAAGGAGATCCAACCAGGCCATCCTAAAGGAGATCAGTCTTGGGTGTTCATTGGAAGGACTGATGTTGAAGCTGAAACTCCAATACTCTGGCCACCTGATGCAAAGAGCTGACTCATTGGAAAAGACCCTGATGTTGGGAAAGATTGAGGGCAGGAGAGGAAGGGGACAACCGAGGATGAGATGGTTGGATGGTATCACCGGCTCAATGGAATGGGTTTGAGTGGACTCCGGTAGTTGGTGATGGACAGGGAGGCCTGGCGTGCTGCGGTTCACGGGGTCACAAAGAGTCGGACACGACTGAGCGTCTGAACTGAACTGAACTGAACCACAGGGCTGGCAGCTCTTGAACTCAGGGACCATAGAGCCCACTGAACTCCCAGAGGGAGTCACTAATGTTGTTCTTTCAAGCTGGCACCCCCACACAGGGGGTGAATGACATAAAGGCATAAAGACAAGGATTTAAAAAGATCTCGTGAAGTTCTAACTGGTGAATACATATGGTGTGTGGGAGAATGATCCACCAGGAACAATTCAACTGGGCTTTGCAAGAGAGCGATCTCCAGGGGATAGTGGCACCCCTGGACAGGGTCTTGTTCCCTCCAGGTCCAACTATTTTGTACTAAAAGATGTAACATGACAGTGGCCTGGTTATATGTGAGAACTAAAGCTTTCAGGTGGACTCCCCAAGGGCTGTCTCAGGCAAAGCTGCTCTAGATAGAGTTATTATTCTAATGCTTACTTCAGCTTCCCTGTTACTACCTTGATTCAACACCCTCACCCACCTTCAGGTGACAGTGGCCTTAATATTTCTTTCAGCTTCTCCCTTCCCCCTGTAAAATTCAGTTCTTCCACTTTGTATTTGTACTAAGATACAAATGGCCCTCAATCCCTTGATAAAACATTTATCCAAGTTATCTTTTGTTTTAATGGGAATCATTAAACTAGAGGAATAATTCAGCTCCAAAGGAAAATTTAAGACAGTGAAAGGAATTATACTGGATCTCAAGAAATAAGTAATGGAAAAGTAACTGATTATGAGTACTGATTCAATAGTTCTAATACTCGGCAGATTAATGTTGTATTCGAAGATGACTTCAGGGGTCTAGATTACATCTTTCTTACTTGCATTGCCTGTGTCCTAGAGGAGCCCAGAGGTGGCCTGTGAACTCTGGCTATGCCATTTACCTTCTGGATAATATCAGGCAGTTCACCAAACTAGGAGATAGAGATCATAGGCCCAGAGAGGGTATGTGACTATTGGACTTGTAGAAAATCAGCTACATAACAGAAAGACTGGGACTAGTGTCAAAGGCTTGCTTCTTTATTTAGTGCTTTTTCCTAGACAACACTGGGGTTTGCAAAAAGATATTATAAAGTGCATTTTTTAAAAGGCACTTTTAGTGCTATGTTTGAAATAGGAAAGATGAAGGATGGGCCAGTTCTTAGGGCATGGGATATAATGTTAAAAGATAAGAGTCTATTCCACTTCAGCCTTCTCTATCAAAGAAATTGATCTTTAACATGGATAAGAAAGATAGTCCAAAATAGTTAACAGGTTCAAGTTTACGATAGGTGAAAAGGTACAAGGAAAGTGCTTAATCCATTTAACTGAATTCAAGCCTTCAGCCCCAAACACATTCCCTTTCAGAATACTGGAGGAAAAAACTTGGCACCTGCTATAACAATTTCCTGAGGGAGAGTGTAATGAGCTACTTTAAAGCCAGGGTTAACTAGCAGCCTGGGGTCAACAATCATTACAAAACCGAAGACTTCTCTCCATCCAAAGTTCACCAGTATTACTCTACCAGGTGTCTCTGGTCATTAAATGGACCAGTAACTCCTTCATATAGTCGGAGTTTTGATTGCAACAGACTGAAACAAAGCATCCAAACCAAAAAATGAAATTTAATAAAGCAAGCGGTAAGTTTTACATGGTTTTTAGCATCCTTTTGTTAGTATGATTTTTTAAAAAAAATCTGCCCAAATAAAAAACAGAGAAGATGTAGGATAAAAATAATTCATGTCCAAAAAGGTTAAGAATCTTGGTTGACTCCAAGCTCATACTTTTGAGAGATACAGCAGCCAAAATGACTAATGAAATTTTAGGCAGTATTAATAACGTTATAGTTGTTTAAAGGGATAATAGGGCTACAGTATTCTTGCCTGGAGAATTCCATGGACAGAGGAAACTGGCAAGCTACAGTCCATGAGGTTGCAAAGAGCTGGCCACGCCTGAGTCACACACACACACACACACACACACACACACACACACAGTGCCAAACAGACCTCCTCTGTAGTATATTCTTTTCACCTCAGAAGGTGCCAGGGACGGGTAAATCAGATAATACGAGATCTAGAAGCCATGTCACGTGACAGCTCAGAGGACTTGCGAATGTTCATTTGGAGAACAGAAGGCTGTTCATTTTAGTGACTAAAATATACGAGAGGCAGTCACTTTGCTGTGCTGCTATGTGAAGTTAACTGCTAGATGAAGGCAAACTCTCATATAAAAGAAAGGAAACTCATGTGGTTGAATGCCCACCATGTGCCCTTTGCTGTGTTAGGTGTGTTGTATCATTTTGTTACAATCTTTCAGAAACTGATAGATATGTGAGGGTTGGATACGATAAGCTCCCATTTGCTGGAAGTCCAATGTCCAGCTCAGCACTGTTCATTTAAAGCAGCAGTAATCACTCTTGTTCTTCCCAGACCTTTGAATGCTTTCCAGGCCCTTCAGGACCCAGCTTCCTACTTGGAGCCAGGCTCTCCTAGTGGCAGAAAAGGTCACTGTGCTTCTGCAATGTGAATTTCCAATACAACTTTAAGGTTTCAGTCCCCAGTGGATCGCTGACTACAAAGGAGGAGGTACCTAGCCACAATTTTCCTAACGCGGTATTTCCTAGCCAGTCTTGATTGGGATGGGCCCACATCTATCTAGGATGAGATATGGGAAGGGCTGGATATTGGAGGGGCACCTAGGCATTTCATGCACTTATTAGGGACTGTGTGACTAGAGATGGGAATGACTCAGGAAGTAATGTTCTGTGGATACATCTCTTGGCCAGTTGCAGGTATTTTCCTCACATACACCTGTAGTTTAGAATCAGCCCAGTGCTGAAATCCTCCAGCTTAGGGCATGTGTCTGGCCAACGAACAGAGGATCAGCCAGGATCTTAGTAGGAACCAGAACTCAGCTCGGAGGATTCCAATGAAGAGAGTTTAATGAAGGGATTATTAGAGAGGTGTGAGCAGGAAATCAGCAAAGGAAACTCAAAAGCAACAAGAGGCACACTCCACTTTCTAGGCCAGGTACTTGCTGTCTCCTAGTTGTCTCAGCCACCCACCTTGGCACCCACATGCCTTCATTTCCTTTAGGTCTTGGTTATAAGGCTACCTTCTCAAGGGCGCACTGTAACTGCTGTTCATCATCATTTCTTTCCTCCTCCCCCATATCCTAATATCATCTGATATTTTTATATTTTAATAATTTATTATCTGACTCTACTCACTACAGCTTCCCAGGTGGCTCAGTGGTAAAGAATCTGCTTGTAACTCAGGAGATGCAGGTTTGATCCCTCAGTCAGGAAGATCCCCTGGAGGAGGAAATGGCAATCGACTCCAGTATTCTTGCCTGGGAAATCCTATGGACAGAGGAGCCTGGTGGGATACAGTCCATGGGTTTGCAAAGAGTTGGATGTGATTTAGTGACTGAGCATGTACATACCCATCGCAATGAGAGCAGAGATTTTTTTGCTGTTTCATTCATTGCTATAATCCCAGAGCCTGGACCAATAAAAAGGTTAAATGACTATTTATTGAATGAATGAATGAATGAACACTAATTGAACTTCTTAGAGCTCAGAGAATTGTCAAAGACCCATCTTTCTGCTTCAACTTGTTCATCACACGCCTGCCTTTTGGAGGGAAGCCCACGGAAATGCAATAGCGCTTGTATTTGGCCACAAGAGGGTGGTGTTGATCAGTTTTTCATTTTTTTTTTTAAGGCGTCTTGAGACCATTCATTCACCCTCTCCTCCTTAGACCCCCAAAAGAAAATGTGGGATAGGGTCATGTCTGCAGCCAAAGCGAACACACAATGTGTCTCTCCCACCTTGGCATTGCTATGCAAGTGAAATTCAGTTAAAACCTTTGCAACAGAATGGTCGTGGAAGGAGAAAAGTCACCAGAAATCAAGGGCCTCAGAAATGCATAGGAGGAAGCAGCTGCCAAAGGAAGATGCCTCCACTACTCAGCTTCAGTATCCAGTAGACACCGCTCTCCAAGCAGTCTTTGTAAAGACACTATGCTTGGGGCCATGTGTACTGACACCAAATCCAGGTATCAGAAGCCCCACCCTCAAGACAGTAAGGATACTGCAAGGCAGAAGTGGGCAGGCCAGTAAGGGAAGCCCGGAGAAGGTGGCAGCAGCATTTGGAAGGATCAGAGGAGGCATTGTGGGAGGGAAGGCATTTGAATTAGGATTTGATTTTATTATAGCACTTGAATTTTAGGGTAATTTTTTTTCTCAATTGAGAATGAGAAACCATTGTGTACATGTAAAAGGTCAGCTTTTCAGGCTATCCTACTCCTATAAGACATAGAATAATATAAAACAAGCGAACTTTAGGGAAGATAACCATACATTATGGACCCATGGACCAAATTCTCAGACCCACACAGTGAACTCTGATCAAACATATGTTTTATTTGAAAGAGAGACACTCTGGAGAAAAAGCATGAGAAGAAAATGAAATGAAGAGGTCAGATGTCAAAGCAGAAGCTCTGAGTCAGAGCTCCTACTTCTTTCCTGGCCCATTCCCCACTTGGGGTCCACAGCCATGCCCTCCTCTCCACTTGGGTGCAGTGTAAAGCCCCCAGGTCAGTCCAGACTAATGTGGTAGAACTTCTTCCACCTCTAGAGTGAGGAAGGGAAGTAAGGCATCCCTCAGCTTCTTCAAGGTGTCTCTGCTCATGACCACAGGCAGGGCATCCACAAGGAGGTCTGGGTTTATGTACTGCAGGTAGAAAAGCACGTAACCCAGCAGCCTAAAGAAGATGATGACCATGAAGATAAAATACCTGAAATGCCTGCAGAGAGATATTCATCGTTAGCACGGGGGAAGACAGCCCAGGAAGCAGCAGCAGGAGGTGAACCTCACCTTCATAAATGACTGTAAATCGCTTTCTTCGGGCCAGCCTGACGGGGAAGTGGGGCATGCAGACATAAAGGGTGAGGGCAGGGGGTAGGTGATAATAGAAAAAGACTGATGTGGTGGTAAGGACTGGAATACAGCCCGCCTGACTTTTAAGCCCTCCAACAGAATGGATGTCCACACAGAAGAGCTGGAGATGCAGAAGAATAAGACCTTCCAGGTACTATATACGCAGGCCTTTGTGCGGGTTGTCAGAAGAGATCCAGAACTGCACTCCTGAGAGTCTCATCGTCAGTGGTCCTCCTCACTCTACTATACTAAGAACTTTTAGAATGTGAAATGTGTCTGGGCCATCTCTGACATTAACATCCACTGAAAATGATTGGGTTGTGTGGGTTTTTTTTTTTTGCTAAACATCAAGTGCCAAAGGAAACCAACTCTGGAATTCCCTGGTAGTCCAGTGGTTAGAACTCCATGTGGGCTTTCACTGCTGAGTGTGCCGTTTCAATCCCGGGTCAGGGAATTAAGATCCTACAGGTCACATGGTGTGGCCAAAAAAGAAAGGAAGGAAGAAAAAGAAACTGAAACAATAGTAGGTTGTGTGCATGTGTTTTCTTATGTGCACCCAAGAAAATTCCACCCTGAAAACTGGCCCAAGGCTTTCCATCTTTAACTACACTAAAATGTCACAAATTGAAGCTTTTCATTAAAGTGCTACATGGAGCATCTTTGTTTCCTTGTTTCAAAAATTTTAAAACAAAAGGCACAGAGTTCAAGTGATTTTTTTCTCTAAAATGTTATAGCCTGCAGTAAAAGAACTAAGAAAATTAATGCACCTTGAACTCTCTTTCCAGTAAAGAGGAGAGCAGATTACCAGGTTCAGGATCTGAAAAATAGAAAGGAGCCCTACTATGAGTCTTAAGAGTGGAAATTGAAATTAAAATGCAAGCTTCACCTTAAACGTCTCCAAAACAGCCATTTTCTCCAGCCACCAAGTCCTACATAACTCTGATTTTCAGAAAAGAAGGAAGGGAGAGATGGCAGAAATCTGGGGCGGCCTGATATGTTCTGGTTGGTGAATGTGTTTATCCTTATTCTACACGCTCTTATCAAGTCACTTACTGCTACAGAGTGAACATGACCTAGACTAGGAAAACACAAGATTCTACCACTTACCGGTACCAAAAGATTCTCTTCTGTTTCTTAATGATGGTCTTCTCCTGTGGGAAGCAATAAAAGCCACAGGTGTGCCTGTCCATGTGCTCATAGACAGGCAGTGTAGTAGGGTGGCTAAGAGCTTGACCCAGGAGTCACTGGCTCTGCCACTTCCTAGCTGCTGTGGTGTGAAGCAAGGTACTGAGCCTTGTTAATTTCCTACCTCTAAGGTTATTGCAAAGAAGGGAAGGGGGCCAGGGGGCAGGAAGCGGGGGGCCAGGGGGCAGGAAGGGGGAAGCCAGGGTAGGAAACAACAGAAGAAAACTCCAATTTGGGACAAGGTAAACTTACCATATTGCTTTGGATGGTCTCCACCAGAGTTGACCCCTGTTTCACTACCTGGGCGGAGTTGTTCTGGGCTTTGCATCTGGGTAACAAAGAGCAGGTCAAAGAATTAAGTAACATAATCTGTGGGACCGATGAAAGATGCCTTTCTAAGTCATGCAACATGTGTGGTTTATTTCCTAGATTCTTGATAACATTCACAACGCTCAATATTCAAAATGCGTAATTAGTCAATATGCAAAGAAACAGGAAAAAATCAAGAGAAAAGACAGCCAGTGAAGAGTAACCATGACACAACCCTGATACTGGATTCACACTGCAAAAAGTCTGTCTCCTGCTGGCAGTTCAAACTTCAGTTCTAGACTGATAGCCTCAGCTGGCCACAGAATGCCTTGGGAGTACATGGTTTCGGAGGTCAGCTTGTGATTTGGTCGGAGTTTAGGTAAAACTTGAGACTCTCCATTTCTAGCTCTCTGTTTTTTAATCCAGCGGTTTGACTATGCTGGGCTCTGTCCTCTATTTTCTATCCCAGAAAGACTGTATGGTTCCCTCAAGACTTTTAAATTGACCTTCATGTCAAGTTTAGCTTGCCCTCAGGCAGTTCAGTTCAGTTCAGCCGCTCAGTCGTGTCCGACTCTTGGTGACCCCATGGACGGCAGCACACCAGGCTTCCCTCTCCATCACCAACTCCTGGAGCCTACTCAAATTCATGTCTATCACGTTGGTGATGCCATCCAACCATCTCATCCTCTGTCATCCCCTTCTCCTCCTGCCTTCAATCTTTCCGAGCATCAGGGTCTTTTCTAATGAGTCAGGTCTTCGCATCAGGTGGCCAAAGTATTGGAGTCTCAGTTTCAGCATCAGTCCTTCCAATGAACACCCAAGACTGATTTCCTTTAGTATTGACTGATTGGATCTCCTTGTAGTCCAAGGGACTCTCAATAGTCTTCTCCAACACCACAGTTCCAAAGCATCAATTCTTTGGCACTCAGTTTTCTTTATAGTCCAACTCTCACATCCATACATGACTATTGGAAAAACCATAGCTTTGACTAGATGGACCTTTGTTGGTAAAGTAATGTCTCTGTTTTTTAATATGTTTTCTAGGTTGGTCATAACTTTTCTTCCAAGGAGCAAGTGTCTTTTAATTTCATGGCTGCAGTCACCATCTGCAGTGATTTTGGAGCCCCCCCGCCAAATAGTCTGTCACTGTTTCCATTGTTTCCCCATCTATTTGCCATGAAGTGATGGGACAAGATGCCATGATCTTAGTTTTCTGAATGTTGTTTTAAGTCAACTTTTTCACTCTCTTCTTTCACTTTCATCAGGAGGCTCTTTAATTTCTTCTTTGCTCTCTACCATAAGGGTGGTGTCATCTGCATATCTGAGGTTAATTACTGATATTTCTTCCAGCAATCTTGATTCCAGCTTGTGCTTCATCCAGCCCGGCATTTGTACTCTGCATATAAGTTAAGTAAGTAGGGTGACAGTATACAGCCTTGATGTACTCCTTTCCTGATTTGGAACCAGTCTGTTGTTCTAACTATTACTTCTCTATGTCCAGTTCTAACTATTGCTTCTTGACCTGTATACAGATTTCTCAGAAGGCAGGTCAGGTGGTCTGGTTTTCCCATCTCTTTAAGAATTTTCCACAGTTTGATGTGATCCACACAGTCAAAGGCTTTGGCATAGTCAATAAAGCAAAAGTAGATGTTTTTCTGGAACTCTCTTGCTTTTTTGATGATCCAATGATGTTGGCAATATTATCTCTGGTTCCTCTGCCTTTTCTAAATCCAGTTTGAACATCTGAAAGTTCATGGTTCACATACTGTTGAAGCCTGACTTGGGGAATTTTGAGCATTACTTTACTAGCCTGTGAGATGAATGCAGTTGTGCTGTAGTTTGAGCATTCTTTGGCATTGCCTTTCTTTGGGATTGGAATGAAAACTGACCTTCTAGCCCTGTGGCCACTGCTGAGTTTTCCAAATTTGCTGACATATTGAGTGCAACACTTTCACAGCATCATCTTTTAAGATTTGAAATAGCTCACCTGGAATTCCGTCACCTCCACTAGCTTTGTTCATAGTGATGCTTCCTAAGGCCCATGACTTCGCATTCCAGGATGTCTGACTCTAGGTGAGTGATCACACCATCATGATTATCTGGATAATGAAGATCTTTTTTGTATGGTTTCTGTGTATTCTTTCCACCTCTTCTTAATATCTTCTGCTTCTGTTAGGTCCATACCATTTCTGTCCTTTATTGTGCCCATCTTTGCATGAAATGTTCCCTTGGTATCTCTAATTTTCTTGAAGAGATCTCTAGTCATTCCCATTCTATTGTTTTCCTGTTTCTTTGCACTGATCACTGAGGAAGACTTACTTATCTCTCCTTGCTATTCTTTGGAACTCTGCATTCAAATGGTTATATCTTTCCTTTTCTCCTTTGCCTTTAGCTTCTTTTCTTTTCTCAGCTAATTGTAAGGCCTCCTCAGACAACCATTTTGCCTTTTTGCATTTCTTTTTCTTGGGGATGGTCTTGATCCCTGCCTCCTGTACAATATCACGAACCTCCATCCATAGTTCTTCAGGCACTCTGTCTATCCCTTGAATCTATTTGTCACTTCCACTGTATAATCGTAAGGAATTTGATTTAGGTCATACCTGAATGGTCTAGTGGTTTTCTCTGCTGCTGCTGCTGCTGCTGCTGCTGCTGCTAAGTCACTTCAGTCGTGTCTGACTCTGTGTGATCCCATAGACAGCAGCCCACCAGTCTCCCCCGTCCCTGGGATTCTCCAGGCAAGAACACTGGAGTGGGTTGCCATTTGTGGTTTTCTCTACTTTCTTCAATTTAAGTCTGAATTTGGCAATAAGGAGTTAATGATCTGAGCCACAGTCAGCTCCCAGTCTTGTTTTTGCTGACTGTATAGAGCTTCTCCATCTTCAGCTGTAAAGAATATAATCAGTCTGGTTTCGATACTGACCATCTGGTGATGGCCCTCAGACCAAAAATGATCGAATGAGAAAATCGCCTCTTGCCTTTCCCTTCTTCCAAATGTCAACACCCCCTCCAGAATTTGCTTGGTGTTATTCACTCTCCAGGGCCGTCTGATTGTTCATTCATTTGTTTTATTTTGTTGCTCAGAGTTTAGAACTGTTTCCTGCCAGAGGGTCAGTTCCAGTAAAAACTTTTAGGCTTTTCATGGGAATCTTTTTGTAATCATAAAATATAGAAGAAAGGGGAAAAGCTGCCCAGATTTCAGGATCTGGCCTTGATGGAATCGTTTGTATCAGGCTAGGCCATCTCTACAATCAAGTATAAAAACTGGACAAAGTACATAAAACAGCCATTTGAATGAATTAAAGAATGCAGTCAGAAGATGAGGGGATACATATCCTGAGCAATGTAAAGCATACTGCGATAACCCCCTCATTCATCCAAGGCCTTCCCCCAAGGGCACTTGTCAATTCGTGGTACAGTGAATAGAGTCCAAGCAGCAAGTGGCAGCATCAATTGGCTGAGGAGACAGAGATTGGAGCTTAATTCCTTAAGGGGGAAAATCCAAGGAAAGAAGGAACCATAGAGAAATGAGTTCAAATATCTGCATGAACTTCCCTTAAGGTGATAGCTGGCTCTTAAACTCTATATGAGTAGCTCAAGATTCCAAGAAAGCCCAGAAAGCAGAAGAAGCCTCAAGAGCTGAGCAAAGATTGGAGTAGTCATGCTGTTCTGGGAAGTAGAATTTGGAATTTGAGACCTGTTACACTCAGACCCTGATGCTGGGAAAGATTAAAGGCAAATGGAGAAGGGGTGATAGAGGATGAGATGATAAGAGAGCATCACTGACTCAGTGGACATGAATTTGAGCAAACTCTGGGATTTAGTGGAGGACAGAGGAGCCTGGCATGCTGTAGTCCATGGGGTCTCAAAGAGTCAGGCATGACTTAACAACTAAACAACAACACACATGTAGACAGAGACTGGAGTTTAAGACTATGAGAGGGAAAATCCAAGGAAGGGTTTCAGTCCTGAATCTATCTATCTGAACTGTTGCAGCTTCCTGCCCTTCGTGGATGCTGTTCTCTCTCTCAGTCGTGTCTGACTCTTTGCAGCCCCATGAACTGCTGTGTGCCAGTCTTCCCTTTCCTTCAATATCTCCTGAAGTTTGCTTAAATTCATGTCCACTGAATTGATGATGCCATCCAACCAGCTCACCCTCTGCCACCTTCTTCTCGTCCTGCCCACGAGATTTCCCGGCATAAGGGGGTCTCTTCCAATGAGCTGGCTCTTCACAACAGGTGGCTGTTGTGAAGTAATAGAGCTTCAGCTTCAGCATCAGTTCTTTCAGTGAATATTAAGGATTGATTTTCTCTAGGATTGTCTGGTTTGATCTTCTTGCAGTCCAATGAACTCTCAAGTGTCCTCTCCAGCACCATACAGATTGAAAGCATCAATTCTTTGGTGATCAGACTTCTTTATGGTCCAGTTCTCACATACATACATGACTACTGGAAAAACCATAGCTTTGACTACACAAATTTTGTTGGCAAAGTGATGTCTCTGCTTTTTAATTTGCTATCTAGGTTTGTCGTGGCTTTTCTCCTCAGGAACAAGTATCTTTTAATTTCATGGCCAAAGTCACCATCTGCCATGATTTGGGAGCCCAAGAAAGCAGAATTTGTTTATACTTTTCTTCCATCTATTTGCCCACCACTATGAGGTGATGGGACTGGATGCCATGATCTTCTTTTTGAATGTTGAGTTTTAAGCCAGCTTTTTCACTCTCTTCTGTCACCCTCGTCAAGAGGCTCTTTAGTTCCTCTTCACTTTCTGCCATTAGACTGGTATCATCTGCATATCTGAGGTTGTTGATATTTCTCCCAGCAATCTGTCCTTGGGTGAGTCATTTATCAATTCCTTTGCTTTTGAGGGATAGCGGTACATAAATTTTTTTTCCATTTATTTTTATTAGTTGGAGGCTAATTACTTTACAATATTGCAGTGGTTTTTGTCATACATTGAAATGAATTAGCCATGGATTTACATGTATTCCCCATCCCGGTCTCCCCTCCCTCGGTACATGAATTTTCAACTGTGCAGGGGACTTGTGCCCCTAACCCACACATTGTTCAATCTATAAATGAATTGTATTTCTATATACTGTTAGTAATGAATTAGAAAATCAAATTAACAATTATCTTATTTACAATAGCATCAAAAATATCAAATATCAAACCTAGGAATAAATTTGATGAAAGATGCACAAAACTACAAAACATGTTTATGAAAAATTAAATAAGATCTAAATACAAATAGGGATAAAAATGTTCATGACTTGGAAAACTCAATGTTGTTTAGATATTGTTAATCTCCAAATTTATCTATGGGGCTTCCCTGGTAGCTCAGATGGTAAAGTGTCTGCCTACAATGCGGGAGACCCAGGTTCGATCCCTGGATTGGGAAGATCCCCTGGAGAAGGAAATGGCAACCCACTCCAGTATTCTTGCCTGGAAAATCCCATGGACTGAGGATCCTGGTAGGCTACAGTCCATGGAGTCGCAAAGAGTCGGACACAACTGAGCGACTTCACTTTCACTTTCAATTTATCTATAGATTTTATATAATTACAATCAAAATTTCAGCAATATTTTTTTTGGTAGAAATTTAGAAACCAATTTTAAAATTTATATGGAAATTTGAAGAGCCAAGAATAGCTAAGATAGTCTTGAATAGTCTTGAAGAACAGCAAAAAATTGCAGAACTTAAGATATGCTAAATCAAATTAATTGTAAAACTAAATTGTAATTGTAATCCCTGTCAGTCAGTCAGTTCAGTTGCTCAGTCATATCCGATTCTTTGTGATCCCATGGACTGCAACACACTAGGCTTCCCTGTCCATCACCAACTCCTGGAGCTTGCTCAAACTCTCATCCATTGAGTCAGTGATACTATCCAACCATCTCATCCTCTGTTGAACCCTTCTCCTCCTGCCTTCAATCTTTCCCAGCATCAGGTCTTTTCAAATGAGTTAGTTCTTCACATCTGGTGGCCAGAGTATTGGAGTCTCAGCTTCAATATCAGTCCTTCCAATAAATATTCAGGACTGATCTCCTTTAGGATTGACTGATTGGATCTCCTTGCAGTCCAAGGGTCTTCTCCAACACCACAGTTCAAAAGCATCAATTTTTGGTCCAATTTTTATGATCCAACTCTCACATCCATACATGACTACTGAAAAACCATAGCTCTTATTATATGGACCTTTGTCGGCAAAGTAAAGTTTCTGCTTTATAATATGCTGTCTAGGTTGGTCATAACTTTTCTTCCAAGGAGCAAGCATCTTTGAATTTCATGGCTGTAGTCACCATCTGCAGTGATTTTAGAGCCCAAGAAAATAAAGTCTGTCACTGTTTCCATTGTTTCCCCATCCATTTGCCATGAAGTGATGAAACTGTATGCCATGATCTTTGTTTTCCGAATGTGGAGTTTTAAACCAGATTTTTCACTCTCCTCTTTCATTTTCATCAATAGGCTTTTTAGTTATTCTTTGCTTTCTACCATAAGGGTGGTGTCATCTGCATATCTGAGGTTATTGATACTTCTCCTGGCAATCTTGATTCCAACTTGTGCTTCATCCAGCCTGGCATTTCACATGATGTACTCTGCATACAAGTTAAATAAGCAGGGTAACAATATACAACTTTGAAGTACTCCTTTTCCTACTTGGAACCAGTATATCGTTCCATGTCCACTTCTAATTGCTGCTTCTTGACCTGCACGCAGATTTTTCAGGAGGCAGGTAAGGTGGTCTGGTATCCCCATCTCTTTAAGAATTCCAGTAGTCTATGCTTGTAGTCTATGCCTCTATCCTTGTGTAGTATTGGCACAGGATAGAGGCACAAACTAATGGTACAGAATAAAATATCCAGAAACAGACTCACACATATATTAATATGTCACCTTACTTATAAAACAAGACACTACTGAAAATGTATGCTCTTTTAAATAAATGATGCTGGGCCAACTGGCTATCCACACATGGAAAAAAATGCATCTTGAGCTCTACCTCACACCACAAAAAAAAACAAAAACAAAAAACAAATTTCATATGAATGTTTACATTCATTTGAATGTAAAAGGAAAAACAGAAAATTCTTTGGGAAGGCATCAAGGAATAGTTTTATTACTGAGAAAAAGCACTGAGCAAAAAAAGAAAAGAAAAAACTTTCATGGATTGGATTTCCTTAAAATTAAGAAATTGTTTATCAAAAGATTCCATTAAGAGAGTAAAACAGAAAAGCCATAGAAATGACTGCAACATATATGTGTGTGTGTGAGTGTGTGTGTCCGTCCATATCTGACAATGGACCGCATGAAAAAAATATAAGGAAATCCTATAAACCAATAAGAAAAAGATGGATAATCTCCCAAATAAAGGTAAAAGACTTATTATAAAAGCAGGTAACCAAATTTCAAGTAAGCATTTTAAGGTATATATATTAATAATAAATAGTGAAATGCATTATTAAAATAAAAATTAGATATCACTATACTCTTGCCAGAGTGGTTAAAATTAAAAAGACTGTAAATATGAAGTGAAAATGAGGAACAGAAATAACTGGAACTAGTATAGATTCTCATTGGAGGAGATTCTGGTAATCCACTTTGGAAAATCATTTGACTTTGTCTGCTAAAGCCACAGATATGTATACTCTATGACTTAGGACTTCTACTCCTTGGTATATAACTGACAGAAATGAGTATATATGTTAACCAAAATACACGCACAAAAATGTTTATAACAACTTTAATTGAATAACCCCAAACTGGAAATAACCAAAATGTTCATCAATGGTAAAATAGATAAATTGTGCCACATTCCTACAATAGAATATTATATCCAGCTAGGAAAAGGATGAGCCACAGGGCCATGCAGCAATGTGGATAAATGTCAGTGAAAGCCAGAGACAAGTGAAACATCCTGAGTTCACATGAGGTTCAAGATCAGACAAAACCAAGAAGAAATGATACAAGTTAGAATCACTGTTACCTTTGCAAGAAACGATGACTGAGAAGAGAGCACAGGGAGCCTTTTGGTGTACTCAGAATGTTCTATGTCTTGATCTGAGTCGTGTTAACACACCACTTGAGATTTGTGCACTCTCTGTATATTGCATAATACAATATAATACATAACACGGTTGAAGAGTATAAGCAAACAAGGGAAAGTGTGTCAAGTCCTAAACCATGCAAGTCTACAAATACAGAACGTATGTAAATGGCTATCACTGGGGCCCCCAGTGGGGGTTCACCATGTCCTGGGAAAGGGGTCAGCACAATCAGTTTTTTCAAGAACAATACTCAACTGAAGATGCATGAAAAGAACATTAAAAAGAGACCCTTTAAACACCAACTGCTGAGAAAGGCAAGAGAGAAGCCTGAATGCTGATGATTTTTCAGCACAGAACATGGAGCAGAAGTTGACAGGGATGACTTGATAGGGGCTATTTATAGTGATACAAACTGGTCTGAGAAGTACTCTGCCCTTCAAGGACCACCGGGGATTATAGCTTCACCCCAACAACGAGGTCATTTTCCCAAACTTACACTTCGTTTTCGAGAAGCAGCATCTCCTTTTCCTTTTCCATCTGTCTCAGAATTTCTTGGTATTTCTTCCCATGAAAATAAAAAAAAATATTGATCATAATCAAGAATTTCTGTATGTATCATTTCAATGTCATTGATAAAAGATTCTCTTAAGACTAACTCTTCATTTTCCAAATGGTGCATGCAAGAATGTACACACACAAGTATGAAGACGTTCTAATAAAAATTAGGATATTAGTGACTGGATGGATGCATATGGATAAAAAGGGAAAAGAATTCTCTCTTTGGATCCTGCTTGTAGGAAAATCCCAGCTCTCACACTTACTATCTATGTTTTTAGAGCACATTACCAAGCTTCTTTGAACCTGTGTCCTCTTGATCATAACAACATGATCCTCAAAGGGTTACTGGACAAACTAATTGAGAAAAATACTGTATGTTGATTGCCTAAAAATGCTATATGTGCCAGTATAAATAAATCCTTAACATACATCTGGTTCTTGTTGTTGTTGCTGCTGCTGTTGTATAAAGGATATTTCCCCCAGTGGCAGATTTTAGCCTAAATGAGGAACCAAAGGATCCATGGCACTGCAACAATTCTGCCTCTACTATGACTTGTCCCCAGAGGCCGTGTACCTTTATGTAGTGGGCCTGATCCTCACAGAGCTCATACACAGATTGGTAGTCACTCTCTATCTAGAAAGAAAAGAGAATTAACAAATTTCATGGATTAAATCACAATGAAGCCTGGGCTGCTCCCAACTGGTGCATTGGCTATTTGGCTGGTTACCTAGCAACTTCTTACCAGGGAAAGCAACTACATCATAAAGCCGGTGATCTCATCATTCATGGGCAGGGTCTAATTTTGAGCAAAGAAAGTTGTTTTCCCAGGTTCTCATATGCCTTTTACATGAGACATCAGGAGATGTTTCAGGGCACTTAGATATGGGCTTCAACAACAGTGTTTCAGTATTTGAGGTAGAGGGGTATTTAAGGAATGACAAGACCAGTACTTTTAATATAAGCTTTGTTTTCCTTTACCTTCAGGTGAGTCAGAAATTCACTTGCCAGGTATTCTTGCTCCTCCCCCTCCCGTGTCTCCAACTGTTCTGTTTCTAAAACCTCTGGGGTTCTCTCTCATTTGTATCCTGAACAGACCCGCAGGGGAGGAGACTCCACCTCTACCTTGACCAATTCCTCCTCTTGACTGGCGCAGGATTCTGTTGACTCCTGTAGTTTCACCTGTTAAAGACAGCAGACGGTTGAGAGCGTTCTTTTGTGAAAGCAAATGGGTAATATTCCTCTTCCCCCAGACAGGCAATGAGCATGACAATGGTGGTGGTGGTTTAGTCTCTTAAGTTGTGTCCTTCTCCGGGGGATCTTCCTGATCGAGGGATCGAACCCACGTCTCCTGCATTGCAAGCTGTATCCTGCACTGCCGGCGGACTCTTTACCGCTGAACCACCAGAGAAGCCCAGGGCATGATAATAATGCCTATCATATAGTGAGGACAGACCATGACACTCTGGAGTGGGCAACATTATTGGCCCATTTACAGGTGAGGAGGAGACAAAAGCAAGGAGTGGTTAAGTGCATGACTTATTTAAAATCACACAGTGGCAGAGTCAGCGTTTAAGCCTTGGTTTTCTTATTGCCCAGTTTTTGGACCTAATCACCCTTCTTCCTCCAGTCCTACTGCCCAAAGTGCTAACTTATTCCTCCATCTTATACTCCACTGGGTGCACTCATGCAGCCTGAATCACGGAGCAAAAGAGAAACCTTCTGCCTCTCTTTCAGAGAAAAACAGAACAGGAGTGCTCTGGCATGCTGGGCTCAGCCAAATGGTCATATTTGCCACATAAAGCTGCAGAGAGCATCTTAATAAGCTTTCTGCCCTCTACTGGGCATCCAAGTCATCTTTTCATTCAACAAATATTTACCAAACTACTACCATGTGCCAGGCATTATTCTAGGCACTGGGGAAATAGGTGTGAAGCACACAGACAAAAATTCACGCCCTCATTGGGTTTACCACCTAGTAAAACATTGAATTAAATTAAAAAAAAACTCCCTTAAGTTATAAACAATGGGTTAGAAAATCAATTACAATTGTTGACCTATCCTTCTGCCATTGTGGAAGTTAGTATTCTCCTCTTCCTTGACTATCTCTATTGGTGTGTCATTTAGATAATAAATTTTTAGAGGGCTTCAGAATGTATGTTTTATTGGCTGATGAATGAAGAGGTCTCTGGAGCAATTCCCTTCACTTTGGGGCATTGTAGACATCTCTGCCACCAGTGTGACTAAAACTAAAGTTATGAATGCTGCAAAATAATTTATGAGTGCTGCCCAGGTCAGGGGGTAAAGTAGAGGGAATAAAGGACAGTGGCTCACCTCTGTGAGCGCACAGACAGACTTAGCCTGGTGGGTTCTTGGAAGCTATTCCTCCCCAAAATTAGAATGACACCACATCTCCCAGAAAATCGGTAGATTTGCTTTTCTACTCACCTTCAGTTCTGCCAACATCTGCTTTAGGGCTTCTTTATCCAGGCCAACATTCTTAGATTTCTTTGAAATCTGAAATACCACCCCCCAAATTGTAAACTGAGTAAGCCATCCGGACATGAAAACGTGGGATAGAGTCACACTTGAAGGTCTCAAAGTAGGAGAACAGTGGTTAATTAATTCAGATCCCAGACGGAAGCTTAATAGAAAAGTGTCCCTTCCTTCCTCTGGAATCTGCCTGACTCCACGCCAGCTGAACAGACCTTTTTGTCCCCAGAGCCCATGAAAAGTACGGCACAAAGGAGGCAAGGCAGGTGGGGGGAGATGCAGAGAAACTGGTGCATCGCAGTTGTGGGAGGGAGGAACAATTCTCTCCTCTCACATTCCTTTAAACCTCCCATCCCAGAGCTGTAATTCCCAGAGGACAAAGGATGGTATCAATTAGCCAGTTTGTTCTAAGAGATTTGGAAGGAGGATTGGGAGGGAGCACACACATTTTGCCAGTTCCTCTTCCTCCTGTCTTTCTGATTGGGGAGCTCAGGAAGATGATGGACCCTATTGGGACTATTAAGAAATGAGCCTCCTTTCAAGAGTGGGCTTATTATCCTGGGATCACCACCTCCCCCCCAAAAAAATGCAGGGCCCACCTTACCTCCTTCTGCACCTCCACCACGCTCCTGCTTAGAATTTCCTTATTTTTTTCCTGGGGAAAGAAAGAGGTAAAGGATACAAACCGCACCCTGCTCTCAAACCCTCTTCCTCACTGGGCCACTGAAATCCCATCCAGGGACAAGGGCCCCACACAGAGGATCTGGGAACAGAGCCCAGGTCTCGCCTCCATGCCGAGCACATCATGCCCCAAACACTGTTAGACAGCTGTGATTTCCACAGACACAGCAGCGACCAGTGATGGTGGTCCCCTGGGAAAGAGAGAGTGGTGGACTGCCAGCAAAATGCATCACACTGTCCTTTTCTAGACACCTCCTTACCAGCTTTGCCGTCTCTAATTCCAGGTCCCGTAGGGCTTCCTCCCTCTCAGATATGAGGTGGTTCAGCTCCTCCCTCTCTCTGGCTTGTCTGACCGACAGCATGATATCTCTTTCCAGACTGAAACATAAGTCACCCAGGGGTGGCTCAATCCAAAGGAAGCTGCCAGGGTCCCAGCTTGAGAAGCTACTTCCAAGGTCTCAGGGAGCCAAAGTGACCACCCAATGCAGTGGCAATAAAATAATGACTTCCTGTGGAAATGTAGTGAAAAATCTGTACCTAAAACGTTTTGAGGACACCGCTGTTTATGGTTCAGAATTTAAACAACTTGCCTCAATTCATGGACAAAGAAGTAAAGCTTCCTCCCACCCACCTCTTGATCCCAAGGGGCATTCAGATGAGGAGACCTTTCCCATCCAGCTACAAAGCCTGACCTTCGAATGGTTTCTTCTTTCTCTTGAATTTTTTTGAGAAGAACCTGATTTGCCTCATCCATTCTCTGCAGGTCCTTTTCAAGGTCTGAGTTCAGAGAGTCCAGTTTCTGCTTTGTGACTTCTAGTTTCGGTATTTCCATCACCTCCTGCCTGCAGGAAAACCATCTTCACTACCAAACTCAGGACAGGAAAACATAGCAGCTGTCATCTCATTCATTGCCCTGTCTTTTGTTGTCACTATGCCTCACCAGCCTTACATTATCATTGTCCACAATAAATTGCTTTCTATGATGTTTTGCATAAAGCAAATCCTTGGAGTCAAATCACATCTTAATTTTAAATATTACAAATGGAACCCATTACAACACAAATCTTTTATGAAACAAAAGAAATATTTTTTTTAATTTGAATAATTATATTCTAGCTTACTTGTTTTCAAAAACTTTATACAGAGTATGTGGACTCCACGCCACACCCATAAAGAATTCAAGGAAGAGGCATGTTTGCAGTCTTCCTTTGTTATAGTCTACTAAGGAGTTTATTATATTGAAAACCTTCTGCACTAGTCATGTAGGAACATGGGCTGGGTAAGGGGCAAGGATGAGGGCCTTTTCCCCCAAATAAGACTGATTTGCTTTTGGAGACATTGGCTATCTCTACAAACCCCACTGCCAGTCTCATGAAGTCCAAAGAACTGAAACCAACGCCTTTCCTCCCCAGGAAGGCTTCCAGACTTGAGGATACTGTCCTGCACAGTCACGGTTTTCTTCCTTACTGGGTTGCAGTAGATGCTTCCCATACTAGTTTCTCGTTCATGTTACTTACACATCATCCAATGGGTCCTGTCCAGCTTCTTCCATTGTAGGTCTCCTATGTTGTCAATATAAACACGTGTTATGAAGACAAAGCTTCTAGTGTTCAACACAATCATTAGCCCAGGAAGGAGCAGAGAAAAGGTTTGACTAGGCAAGACAGAACCAAGACTAAACCTATGCCTCCTAGACCCTTTTCATATTTCAGGATCAGTTGCAATATCTTGCTAGATTTCAGTAGGCCAGATCATATCTCTTCAATGAATCTCATAAATGAATCCCACTGGAGTACAGAAATCTTTTTGTTTTCACAAAAGTGTTTTTACACTTTGGCTACCTTGCCCCTTTCTTGCCTGCACATTGGCAGGGAAAGTGCTAGGAGAACTCAAGTTTGTGTCTATTGGCAAACACACCAAGAGTTTATATCTAACCCTGACCTTCAGGGAGACTTAGGAAAAAAGAATAATAGAAAAATTGGAGGATATAAAAGAATTGGTTGGCTGATTTCTGTTGGTCTATAGCCATCCTACTTTTTTACAAACTTTAGATATTATGGCTGGATTGATCCTGAAGGGAACAGATAAAGCAGCCTGAGCAACAGGATATAATGACTGAAAGGGGTTATTTTGAAAATGTCATGTTCTCAGGGATGGTATCTGCTCCACTGCATCAAAATTAAAATTCAGGACTGAACCCAATCTAACAAAAGGAGAACACCAAATCTCCTTTCACATTCCATCTTCTTTTCCTTCTCTCTTTCTTTGAAGCTTTTTTTGTTTTGGTTTTAATTCCCCTTTTAATTCCTTCTTGTACCTTCTTCTCTTTCACAGCCCTCCCTGCATTTCCCTTTTCTTTCTACTCTCTTTACACATTAGGAAGCCCAGCTTGTGATGATGCCCTTGAGCTCACCCTTCTCTTCCCAACAGAGATTCCTTCCACTCCCACTGAGATTTCCAACTGAATGTCACAAGTTTCAGAAAAGGCATCTCCTTGATGATGGCATTCTCCGCATACAGCTGGACCTGTCATCTCTAGCCGGGTGGGGCAGCATGTCATAGTAGATAGGGGTGGGTGGGGTGAAAGTAACTCCTTGTCATCTCTGTAGGCAGAGTGAAAGCAGAGTTCAGAACTTTAGGACAGTTTAATTTTCTTCCTATGGAACTAATTTCTGGACACAGTTTAAACTGCTCTGAAACAGCACTCATCTCTATGGGACACATTTCTTCATTTCCCCAAATCCATTGACCCAGCAGTAGTTGATATCATGCTCATTTCCTTCACAACCTCTGTGTGGTATGTGAGCAAATTACTGCACCTAAATCCAAACCAAGCCCCTCTAGTCAATGCAGTCAAGAGATGAGAGGTAGGAACATCTGAGAGCAGGGTAGGAAGAATATGAGAGATGTCTTATCTATGAGCCAAGAAAATCCTCATTCTTAACCAAGTTGGATTTTTGGAGCAGCAAAACAAATTTCTTTATTTTTCCCAAGGAGACACTGCCAACTCATTGGGAAGGAAAGCCTGATGTTTCAAAGGTAGTTGAGTATGTGGAGGTCGAGCTAGAAGGAGGAAAGAGGAGGCTTAGGTGCAGAGACCCTACTCAACTGCTCACTTATAAAGAATTCTATCCTCATTTTTTTGAGATCTTAAATTACTGGAATAATAGATGGGATTTTACATTATCAGTGTAATTCTACTAACCAGTTCTAGATTCTTCTCTGTATTGATGGAGGAAATGAGGCAAGATACAGAATTGGCGAGATATCTATAAAGGTGTAGGCTTGGACTTCATATCTTTCATTTCTATCCCTCTTACTTATCCATCTTCTCCACGATGTAAGTCTAACCTTTTCCAGCTAAATTTTACTAACCTTAAGTCCTTGGAAAGCCCTTACAGAACATACCACTCTCTCTCCAGGAAAATCTCTCTCCCACACAATTATCTGTCATGAGCTTATCCATCCTTCCCAGCTCAGCTCAAATGCTGCTTCTTCTACACTCTCTCAGATACCACACCCTCAAATACTGGCAGAATGAATCCCTCCAACCTCTATCCTCTTTTGTTATTTTATGTTGTTTTTAGGAATGTGCTCACAAGGGTCCTCACTCCACAGTTAACCTATAAACATCCTGAAATAGCGCATTTTAATCAAAGCCATTTTGATTTCCCTCCTGATTTGTGCCCCAGGGGTACCATTTGCAGAATTCAATAGGAATGGTGCCCCCTGGAGTTGTTCAAGAAGAGGATGACCCTGAAAACAGAGAGTGGGTTAGATACGGAAAGCATGCAAATCAAAACCAAATTTCATTGGCTTTCATTCTATCCTGGCACTGTGAAGCTGTGGTACCCAGGACATTACTTAATCTCTCTGAGGTCAGGTTTCCTGATCCATGAGATGTGCGTTATTCCTGCTTCACAAAGTTATGTGTGATCAGTTGCTTAGTTCTTTGCAACTCTGTGGCCCTATGGACTGTAGCCCACCATGCTCCTCTGTCCATGGAATTTTCCAGGCCAGACTACTGGGGTGGTTGCCACTTTCTACTCCAGAGGATCTTCCCAACCCAGGTATCAAATCTACGTGTCTTGCATCTCCTGCATTGGAAGGCAGATTTTTTACTGCTAGTGTCACCTGGGAGATTAAATGAACTAACATATGTAAAACTCCTAACCTTATGTGTGGCATGCGTAAGTACTTAATTCTCATCATTAGCCAACACAAAATATGTTTCCTTTTTCTTACATTACCTTTGCACATGACATATGCTGAATGTTTTTAGAATGAATGAGTGAAAGAATGAGTGAATGAACAATTCATTCCCTTTATCTAGAACAGTAGATATATCCTCCCTGCCCTTTCCACCCTCCTGGGAGATGCTTACCTGTACACTCCCATTCGTATACTCTCATCGGCAGTACAGCACTCCATAGCAGAATTCTCAACAAAGGGCCACCCCCTCAGGAAGCCAATCTGTAATCACTGGGGATGCAGTTTGAAAGCCTCTGTTAAACTCTTTAGAGCAGTAGGCACCTCTGACTGAGAATCACTGATGAAGAACATATTCTCTCCATTAACTGCACCCTCCTTTCCTTAAAGACACCACACAAGGACTTCCTTGGTGGTTTAGTGGTTCAGAATCCACAGTTCAACTGCAGGGCACATGGGTTGTCTCCTGTATTGGGTTGCAATTGTTTTTATTTTAGCTATTCTAATTGATTTGCAGTAATAGCTCATCACCGTCTTGACCTCCATTTATTTACCTAATGATTAACGATGGTGAACATTGCTTAGTTTACCATTTATATATTCCCCTTGGTGAGATGTCTCTTCATGTTCGTTGCCTATTTTCTTCTTGGATTATTTTTTCTTGGTGAGTTTGGGTAATTATTTATATATTTCAAGTACAAATCCCTTGTCAAGTATGTGATTTGCAAACATTTTCTTCCAGTCTATAGCTTTTCTTTCATCCTATTAACAGTTTTCACAGAGCAAAATTTTTAAATTTTGCTGTCAGTTTATGGATATTTTTTCTTTTACGCATCATGCCTTTGTTTGATCCAAGCCCTAAGTCCATAAGTTATTTTACTATGTTTTCTTCTAATTTTATTTTTAGTTTTCAATTTTACATTTAAGTCTATGATCCATTTTCAGTTAATTTTTGGTATGAGGTTTTATATTGAGGTTCATTTCCTTGTCTATGAATGTCGAATTCCTCCAGCACTGTTTGTTGAAAAGACTAACATTCTTCCAATGAATTGTTTTTGCACCTTTGTCAAAAATCTATTGGCCAAATCATGGTCTTTCAACAGGCTCACCTAGTTAAATCCAGTTGTGGTAATACAACATTTAGCTTCTAGGTAAATGCTGTTGTAAGTGAAAATTTTTTTCCTTTTCAAAGGAAAAGTAGAACTATAGAGTTAAATCTCTTTTTTTCTGGGTTTCTCAAGTAACTCTATTAGCATTTGGGCTTCCCTTGTGGCTCAGATGGGAAAGAATCTGCCTGCAATGCCGGAGACATGGGTTTGATCCCTGGGTTGGGAAGATCCCTTGTGGAGAAGGAAACGGCAACTCACTCCACTTAGTATTCTTGTCAGACATGACTGACAAGCATTTAGCAAGTGCGCATGTATGACTAATTAGTAAAGTGTATTTAGATCTCTCCTATGGAATAAAACATAGTTTGAAGTCCTGGGCCCCTGTATATATAAATTTTTAGGAGTGTGGCCCATATGCTCTATTTCCTGGCACAGTGTGTAATCCATGAATGTGAACCACTTGCTGTGAATACAAACCCAAATACATGCCTTCTTGATGTAGTTCTGTTCATGTGACCCTGGCAAATAGAAAGAATGATATATTTATCAAGAAGATAAAGACCTATTTAACACATCAGTTTTTTTTAATGAATCTAAAAACAATTAACTCTTTAGATTCCCTATGGCAGTCCTTACACCTAGGTGTCCTCTTGTAAAGAGACACCATAGAACTCTAAGCTTCATCGGCTTAGGAAACAAAGAATTGATGGTTTCTATTTACTGTTTTGAGTCTGGACTGTTTATCTCAACAGCTTAGTTATACTGAGAACTGCTCCTGTTTTGTTCCAGTACCTGAGGCTATAGAGGAGGTCTATACTAATTTGCATGACTGCAGAATGTAATTTTAACCATCTTCTTAGAAATCCCACAAGTCAGAAGGATTTGTGCTGTCATGCTACTTTAGCTCCCTACAAATATCACAATATAGCAAGACAAATTGTTGCAGTGTCAAGAATTAACTTTGTTTTCTGATTAAGGAGAATTCATTTTCAGTCACTGGATTGTATAATGGAAGATCAGAAATGTAGCCTTAATACAGTTTAAAGATCTTGCATTACTCTCTTAACAAGCAGATATGTGAAAAACGAAATCTTTTGAGATTTAAAAGAGATTCACTTATTTTGCATTTTGTATAACTTTTCATAACATTAAGACTAACTTGTCAATCAAAACTAATAGAATAAAATAAAATTTCCTATAACATTATTAGAGCTCTTCACAAGGTAACAGTGAATTTGCAAAATTTGTAATCAGAGTGTATGACATCAGGATGGTAGAGGCCTTGGGAATGCCCATGGAGGCTGGAGGCTGTGTGATGTGGTCTCTGACATAGCAACAGTGAATGTCCCCGCATAGGTCTGGCATCAAGGGACAGGGTTCAGTGGATGACTGCCCCTCAGTGCCCACAGCAGTTGGATGGGGAGAATGTCAGTAGGGTCAGTAGGGTCCATGATAAAAGGCTAACTCTTTTCTCCCACTTTCCTGAAAGAACAAAAGCTGAAGATCCTGGTTATAATACAAGGAAGGGTGGGTGGCAAGGGGAGGAAGCGATACAAACACATTGATATCAGGCATCCCATTGATCTTTAAAAGGCAGGCTGAGGAACAGATTTGACTTGATGAAAAAAAAAAAAAGATCTTTTTTTGTACCTTGATTTCTATGGGAACATTCATTCATTCCATTTATGCAGTCTTTTACAATGACCTATTTTGATGGGAGTTTTGGGCTTCCCTGTGGCTCAAACAATAAAGAATCTGCCTGCAATGTGGAAGACCCAGGTTCCGTCCCTGGGCCGGGAAGATCCCCTGGAGAAGGGAATGGCAACCCACCCCAATATTATTGCCTGGAGAATTCCATGGACAGAGGAGCCTGGCGGGCTACAGTCCATGGGAGAGTTGGACACAGCTGAGCAACTGACATTTCACTCTTAAAATAACATCTAAATGTTTCCAGTTCCTGTCTTTCCTCCCATTCAGAAAAGACAATCTTGTGTTTGCTAGCATCTTCTCACTCTCTTGATCTCTTGATCTCTGTTGATTGATCCCAGAACAGTTCCTATATTTGAACTGCCAGAGTAGAATCAGAAATGGGTGAGAAAAAGTGAGAAGGGGGAAATGAAAGAAGGTAGCTAAACTGAGCTTCATCATATCAATAAAAAGTAGGAGAGAGGG